CAACTTTCATAATTTTAAGAATAAGTATCGTGTAAGAATATAAGAGATACATAACCTAATTAAATTACCTTCATTACAATTTACCCACTACGTTGTTTTTTATAAGTAATCAAAATATGAGAATATTTTTTCTTCAAAAAGTGGCAAAATCCACGGTCTTACCCATCTGCTTCTTATATTGATAAATAAATTGTTTACTTTTATTACTTCTGAATCTAACAATCAAAACCATGAACGTACTAAGAACAACGGACGGAGTGCTGTCACTGTACAGATTGAAGTACCGTAATGGCGGCGGGTTTTAATGTGTGCGTGTTTTCAGAGTTGCCAGCTGAAGAAACTTTCCCTAAAATTTTATATTGATATTCACATATAAATATGACTAAATACGTACGTCTTATAATAGTCTATAATAATAGTTTCATAATTTATAAATAATATAAAAAGTAGAAAGTTAGCTTGTATAAGTTAAAATCAAACGAAGTTAGTTAGTTGCCAAAATGTTTTATAGGAACTTAAGCTGACATGAAAAAAATACACTATGGTCTTCTATTAATATTTGTATTCATACTTATATAACCTATTATATTTTGCTTATTTAAAATGTAGAAGGCTTAAAAATATGAAATTACGTACGTTTCTGTACACAAAAATTTTGAATTATATTAATTTACTAAATTATTGAGCGGGGCTTTTCTCGTAAATAACGTCAACGATGATCTAGTTGACGAGGTAAATAAAGTTTATAAAATAATAAAATAATACTAAAATCCCTTAATATGTTGTGTTAATTTTTTGTGATATTGCCTCCTGCTTTCATGTGTTCTTAGAATTCCTTCCATTTTTGATATATGATGAAACCTAATGGTTAGATACTTTTCTGCTATGTATTTTATTAGACTTATTTTGTGTTCTTCTCCCAAGTACATATGCTCAGACTCTAAATTTAAAAACACTTTATCGCTACCTACGAATTTTTCGAGTATTTTAATCAGCATATAGCTATGTTGCTTGTCGTTGTATATAGTTATATTTTCTTTAATTACTTTTTTTACTACTATTTCACAGAGCAAACAAATTTCATACACATCTTGTGATGGGAAACTTAAGCCACCTCTAGTTTTTAAATTTATAAGACTGTGAAAAGAGTATTTCATATCAGTGGTTAATCGGGAAGTACAGGCTTGACAATTTATTTTGTTTTTCGCATAGTGTGTTATGCTTCCAGCAGGGTATCCTATTATCAACTTTCTGTAGTCATCAAACTCTGCTAAATCTAACCGCCTAAGCAGATTGTCATCCTCACAGGAGATTTGATTCATGAATGAAAGTTCAGTTTTATTTTCTTCTTCTTCATGACGGTAGGTAGAAATGGTTGTATTTATTATTTGAATAGCGGAAGAACAATTTAAAATTGTTACTTGTTCTAATGGCACTTTTCACACTTAGCACAATTTTCAGTTGTTACGCATCTTATTTCTAGGTATGATAGTAGCTTTCTATAGCATCCTTTAAATTGGCGCACGTTCGGATTATCGTTAAAACCACCCTGCATTCTTATACAAGAAAAGAATTTTTTAATGAAGTATTTCTATTTTTAAGCCTTCTAATTTTCTGGTTTAAATTTTTTATCTTTTGTTTTTGCTGTGAAATGTACAAATCTTTCTTTATTATTTTTTTTCAGACGTTTTTTTCTTAGGAGTGTATAGGATTGACAAAGGTTGTTCGAATCTGCTTCCGCTGGTGCCAAATCAGTTGCATCCTTAATAAATAAAAAAAAACACTTTTAGCATTACATAAAAACCACACAACGTAAACTTACAGCATGTGCATGATTATAAATTAACTTACGGTATGGAAAGGTGCATCTGTGGAATGCAAAAAAAAAATCTGTTTTATTGATCAATTTGTCAGCTTCTAAAGAGATCTAAAAAAAGAAAATTTTAAAATTACATTTAATCATTATAGACAAACTATAAGTGTTTATATGTTACTATGTAATAAAAAATAAATTAATGGCTCATAAAGGTACTATTATAGAATAATGAAACTGTCCATTTTTACCTCCGAAACAGGAGTGTGCCCTTTGAATTCAATAGGAAGAAGTCTTTCTTCATTAGAAAGTGCACGTCTATCCAACGATTCCTAAAAAGCAATTAGAATAAATTAAAGTTTGTTAAGTTTGTCTGAATAAGCATTTAATTAATGTTATGTAAGCTTATAATATAAATAATTACTTCAAATGATCTTTCCAATACAGCAGGTTGTTCATGTTGCTGCTCGTCGCTCGGTGGTTTCCATAAAAACTATTAAAAAAAAGTTGTAAAATCAAACACATGTCACGATTGATAACATTACACAAACCTTCAGTTATTCAAAGGAACCTTTTGTGGAACTTCTCTCGTTGTGTACAAATCGCTTGTTTGAAAATGTTCGCTGCAAATAACACTTGATTTTGTTGGATTCAAATCCATTTGTCTTCTACACTCTCTAATTATCTGAATCCAATCGTTTCTCCATTCATTTTCCTTCGGAAACCTAAAAAATGTTAACGAACATTGTTCAGCACGTCGGTGATAAGGGAGATTTATTTTGACACGTTGGAAACACTGGTAATCACTTTAATGTATCTATTAATTAAGTTAATTTAATCTCATGTATACTTATTACTTATTTTTTTATAAAGTTAGGGAAATAAAATTTCGAAAGTTGGCAACATTAATTTCGTCAAAGAAAAATTTTTGTACATAAATTACGAAAAGATATAATGAAAAATTAATCAAAATAATGCGTTAAAGAGTGTACTTACCTGTGAAAAGTGATTCCTTGTTTTTTTTTTATCACGTAAAGTGCTACGGGAACAACATTTTATGACGCAGATTGGCGTAATTAAAAAGTTATTTCGATTACTTATTGCGTGTGTCCTTCAGCAGCGCTAGCAGTGTAATGGCGGACGCCAAGCTTACTATTATTTGAATGTGTCGGTGTTAACGTGTAAATAAACGTTACCGAGCTTACTATGGTGCTTCAATATGATAGTTTACGGAATTCCGTCCGTTGTTCTTAGTACGTTCATGATCAAAACTACCTAATTGGTATTAAGTTTCTTAAAAAGTATTGAAGTTTCTAATTTCACAGGTGTAAGATGACGTCAAATTGAAATCAACAGACTAAAATCTATTTTAAGAAATATTGAGCGAGGCGTAAACAATTTAGCGTTATGATTATATTGTTTAACTAAAGAACGATATCTGCAAAGCGGATTCATACTCTGATGCTAATAAAATGTGAATCAAAACTTCTTCAAACTTAGCTTTAAGATCGTTTCTTAAAAACGTATTTGAATTGCATATATTGTCAAGGTCACGATTCAATGAGTAGGTATCTGTACAATATGGTTCAAAGAAATGAAACTTCGATGGAGTATCAGTAATCTCGTTTAATTTACTATTTAACTTGTACAAAATTATCTTAAATACATTTAATAGGACATGCTGGGCCATATTAAGATTCGAGAAGGTAAAGGTACCTTCGAATTAAATAAATTTAACAGTCGTTGTCTACTGCCAGCACTACACGTATGTAAACGTAACGATATGCTATTGGAAGAAGTACCGTAAAACGTGGCAACTTTGCCCGCTTTATATGCGTTAAGTACTCTAATTTAATTTAAAATTATAAACATATTTAATAAAATACTTGCAATAAGTAGTCGAAAATGTTTCTAGGTTTACTTAAATTTGAAAATTACTATATTAAAAAAATAGTTATACTTGCAAAAAAAGTTAATTTAGAACGTGGGCCAAATATTTAAAAAATGGCCATGTTTGCCCACTTGACATGGTAACACAGTAGCTTCGATATTTTGATCTTTATATTAAGTGGTTTAAGAAGTATGATAAAAAAACGGTGCAATGTTGCACTGTATCATATAAGAAACCACTACACGTTGCCAAGTCTTTTTTAACATTCTTCATATAAACGAAAGTATGCACTAGGGTTGTCACTATTCAAGACATTGTATTACACAAATAGCCGTTTTATACTCTTGGTATCAAGTAAATAATATAAATGCAAACTACTTACAGTCTATTAATTATTTAATGGTAGTTAACATACAGAAATAGTAATCATATATTCTCATCGTCAGTAGAAAGCGAGAAGTGCTAAGGCACCAAACCGTTAGGTAGTATTGAGGAATGATTAGAGTAATGACGAGTAATTGAAACAGTTTTATTTTTATATAGGTATTTAATCAAACAAAAGACTTGACACGTAGTTAAATCTGATTCATATGAGTTGCATCATATAATCAACTATGAATTGAAATAAATTAATCAACATTGGCTTTGAGAAAGCTACAACAAAAAGGTATTTAATAATGAATCTTAACTTAAAATCAAACTTATACAAAAGAAATAAAAATGTTATTGAGATTAGCATCATAAAAATAATGTAATCTTGAGATCAACAAATAAACGCAAAAGATTATAAAAAAAGAATAAAATTATTACCTACATCTGATACTCTCACCCGTGTTATCAATGCGTGAACCTAGTTACTCATGTTGTAGAAGGAGTAAATAATTTAATAACAAAAATATCAACCAAAAACTTCAATAAACACAATGGAAAAAAGACAAGCCCTATAAACAATAAGTTACCTATTTAAATTAAAAAAACTTAGGAATGTACTCAGGAACAAAAGTATTTTTATGAGATCATCGTTTAATAAAATTTTTACCTATTTTGTAAGTCTAACAGCTTTGATGGACAACCAAGTTTGACATGAAATCATTGTAACATCTGCTTTTAGCAATTAACTATCATCTTATGACATAAGTACTCACTTGGCTACCTGAACTGTAAGTAATCCAAAACCGTTCAAAATTAGAAACAGCTATCAACATAGCCAACAAAACGCATTGTTTTACTACATCAAGATAACGAAAAAATAAAAGCTTAATTATATAAATAAAGATCAATGAAATTTACTTTTAATTATTGCACATTACATTCACGTAAATTTATATCAAATATTATCTGAGCCCTCCGCGAAATATTTGGTTGAGGCAATACTAGAATTATGTCATTTAAGTGCATCATTTCACAAGTGTCTTCTACATTTGGGTACGTGAACGCTAATTTCTTGCCTTTGGCATTTTTTATTTTTCTTAAGAATTTCACTGTAGGGATTTCATTTTTAAAGCTTATGACTTGTCCAAGGTAATGTTTTAAACTTTTTTTTGTGGCAAATTTTGCCAATATCCAGTCATCTTTTTTATGTTACTCGGATTGCCTGTAAAAAACGAAACATCTTCTGTGTAATCTTCTTTGAATTCTTCTTTGTAATCTTTCTCTAGTAAATATTTTTTAATAAAATCTTCCATGGATTCGTTTTCAGAATTTTCCGTATCTACTACGCTCATAATGCCTGAGTTTTCAGAGCTTGATTCTACTACATATCTATCTAACTTTCTCTTCTTTTTCTTAGATTTACGTTTTCTGCTTTGTTTTTTGTTTGATGTTTTTGGTTGAACGTTATTTATTTCTATTTCTTTTAGAATACTGTCTTGTTTGGCATTTGATTTTTTTTGGCCTAGGATATAACTTAATATGTAGTGCAGTCTCAAATTGTTTCAGCACCCAAAATTTTTTTATTGATATGTTTTTTTCTTCCTAGTTGAGGTTATCTTAGCAGTTGAAGTCACTTTTACATCGGAAGTTATAAATAATTTTTAGGAGAACTGTTTGCAGTCAATTTTACCCCACTTGGAGAATTTTTCGAACGTAGGTTTTGTGTTTGTAAACAAACAGGTAAATCTTTTTCATCATGTGCTATAAACGATAAATTTTCTTCGCGACTTCTCAAATTTTCACCAAAAATGCATAGATCTGGCGTTTTTGAACCAATATCTTGGACTAATGAATGTATGTAATTATTGATCATATCAATACAAATTGCTTTTAGACTATTTGGATTATATGATAACGACAATGGCACTACCAATTCATTTCTACTGTCATTTTCAGTTGATGTCGATGGAGAATCATTTTGTGTAATTTGTGTAACTGCGGAACTTACAAGACTTACACGTGATTTTTTGGAATTCTTTTTTTACTATTTGCCCTGTTTCTTCGTGTAATATATGCGTCTCTATTTCTTCGTCTGTCTCTATCTTTTCTTCTGTGTTTTCATTCAACATCGGTATCACAATGTCTTCTTCCGTATTAATATGTTTTTTATTCTTATTTGTCGCATTTGTTTTCTTTGTATTACTGTCTTTTATAGAAATATCTTCCACGCAGACTGACTTTCCTGGTTCTGTTTTCAATTTTTTTTTGCTTCTTTTCACTGTCATTGGATTTGGGGATCTTGTTTCATTCAAATAATCTAGTAAAGCACTGTCTATTCCATGGGTAACTTTGTCATATAGTTCTGGTATTCTCTTAGTAACATTGATTGGATTGAGAGGCCAAATACCTGTGGCTCTGAAGCCGCTTTTAATATTTTTTGTTTCCCTCAGCTGTATTTTTTCAATTAGTTCCGCCAGCAATTTAGGAAAATGTTTTTTATTGAGTGTAGTTTGACCAGGATTCTTGACTTTATATTCAAGTAGAATTCTTCTCCACTCCCTTTTCAGTGGACCAAAAAACGAAACATCCAGAGGTTGGGTCAGATGAGTGGAATTTGGTGCTAAAAATACCAATCGGATATCATGTTGTTGACACAACTCCACGACTTCAATATTTATGTGGCTCGACAAATTGTCGCCAATGACGACTTTTGGGCCTGATATTTTCTTCCCCCATTGAACTATTATTGTTTTAAAATAATCCTCGAAGGCATCAGAATCGAACCAACCAGATTTGGTGCAATTATATCGTGTCCCACAAGGGCCTCCTTCCACCCATTCAGAATCAGAATATAAATTTGTGGCTTTGTAGACAACATAAGTTGGAAGACAGGTCCCATCTGCACATACCGTAAACATAATTGATATGCAACTCTTAGAGCTATTAAGTACACGCTCTGGGTATTTGACCCCTCGTCTAAAAATGCACCTGGCAATGCCTGGATTGTCTGCCAAGTTGGTTTCATCGTAGTTCAAAAAGTTTGAAGGTGGTACACTGTTAAGGGTTTCTTTCAAATTGTCAAAGTAAACTTCTATTTCTTCCAAGCTTTTTTCGGCTCGGACTTTTTTTATATTTTGGGTTGTTCGAAAATTTTTTAATGAGGCACTCTTCTAAATTGTCCAATTTAGAAGAGTGCCTCATTAAAAAATTTTCTACCCAGGTATCACCAGGCATTTTATTATTAAATAAATCCGCTCGGGAATTCTTTTGTAAATATTTATGAACTAGTAACTTTAAATCCAATTTAGTCATTGGACTACCAAAGTTTGCGGCAGTAATTAGCACACCGACTAACTTTTCCTCCTCTTCGTCCGTTAATTTTTTTTCTCCCCGTGGAGTTCATATGCACCTTTTTCATTTTATTTAATAAAGTTCGACGTGGAATGCCGAACTGCTTTTTGGCATCCCTACTGGAAATTAATTTTTTTTCTAACATTTCAACGGCAACTTCTAACATCTCCGTCGAATAATCTCTGTATTGTCGAGATCCCAGTTTTCTTCTGTTTCTTTTCTTTCGCGATCGACTCTCCATGTTCATTCTGAAAACAAAAAACATTATTCTAGTATAGATATAGTTCTAGTGTTAGTGTTGCCAGGAATAAGTTGAATAATTAAAACTACTTTTACGGATTTTATCGCGTTTATTTTTACTTTTTATTTTTAATTCCCGACGTTTCGGGCGCTTTCCAGCACCCATGGTCACGGGGGACTGAGATGACTGACGTCCCGATGTCATTGTTAAACCCGGAGTACCTTCAGATTTTTTAATAATTGTTTATGGTCCGATCTATGCGTTTCTTTGCGCTTTGCATTAACAATATTAGTTTATTTTACGTGAGACACATCTAAATAATCCCTGCGCTGAATGGCTTGAAATCTGGTTTAAATATGGAATTCAATTACACAGTGGTCACTTTTATCAATTGGAGATATAGGCAGTAACCGCATGAGCTTACTCAGTGCTGTCTCTTTGCACGAGGCACATTAGGATTACTTCGTAGGTACATATTCTCATGTGAAAAATTTGCTCCCATAGAACACAAAGCGTACTGAATTGCTTATACCTACTACCTATAAGTATAAAGGCAGGCGTCGACTACAGCCGAGGCGAATCTCATCGAGCGCGTCGAACTGAGCCGAATCGCCTCCTGGGTGCGTTAATCACTGACGCGTCGCGTCGAATCGAAATGAATCCTCTAGTAGTTATTTGCCCGTGCTCCGAGTTGGAGATTGTGATAAATTAACGATGGATAGCTCGGATGAAGAAATGTTTTTATTTCAAATTCTATTTGATGAAGAGAATAGAATAAAAAAGAAGCAGCGGTCAGTAAAATACTGGGTCCATGATATCAACAGAAAAAGAAATATCCACGGAGAGTTTTGCCATTTGTTTTCTGATCTACAAAAGGACCCAAGCAAATTTTTCCAGTACTTCCGAATGACCTTTGAAAAATATCAAGAGTTACTGAACATCCTGGATCTGAAGAAACAAAACACAAGATTTAGAAAGCCTATTCCGTCAGAAGAACGGCTAGCTTTATGCCTAAGGTATGATAAAATAAAACAATTTTTTACTTGAAAATTCTTTATTTATTTCCATTATCAATTTTCATAGTGATACTTTATTTTTGAAATCGAATATATTCGTTCAATGGACTTGCATAGTTTTGAGTTTGCGATTGCAACGGGGATGTTGCCATTTGTGAAGTGCCTTCAACAGATTGAAGTTGACTGGTATTTAAAATTATATATGACTGTCGTGAACTAGATCCATCAACATCTGTTGCATATTCTTGCCTGCTTGAAGAACTTGATGCAATAGGGGTTGAGATGTTAACAGTCGCATTTCTTTGAATATTTTCTTCCTCCGCTTCACAAACGATATTGAACACGGCTCTTTTCACACGTAATCGCAAATTTGGAGAAAACTGCGACACAGTATGGCCAAGATTTTTAAAAAACATTATAATGGGATCCTCTTCCTCTTGTCTGTCATGACTGTATTTTTTATCCAAGTAAGACTGGAAAAGGGATTGCGTACTACCAGGTAGATTTTCTGTTGGTTTTTTTTCTTCGGTGGTGGCGTTTTTGATATAGGTGATCCGGGCGACATTGTCGATGATCCATGTGCTGGCGAAGCAATGTTGACTGAAGTGGATGAAGTGAAGCTATGTGCAGGAACGTTTGAGAGAGATTGCGATTCAGCATGTATATACGGCGTGAGAAAACTCAGCTCCTTGGCAAATCGAATGGGTTTAAAATTTTTCGCCGCTTGGCAACTTTTTGTTTTCCTTAAATTACTTGCCTTTCTAAAATTTTCGCGTATCTTCTTCCATTTTTCTCTGCATTTTGTTGCTAGAATAAAATACATTTGTTATTTTTTAATATGAGCAGTATAATATGAGCAGTAGTTAACATCATACAACAGATAATAAAAGGTGTTTAATATTTTTTTTCAGATTTCTGGCTACGGGCAATTCCTTTAGATCGTTGGCATTTAGCTTCAGAATGGGAGAGAGAACTGTAAGAACAATTGTGTATGAGACGTGCAAAGAAATATGGAATAAACTACAACCCAAGCCTCCGACAGAACAAGAATGGAAAGAAATTGCACATGCTTTCTACGATAAATGGAATTTTCCAAATTGTATCGGTGCATTGGATGGTAAACACGTAGTAATAGAATGCCCGCCAAATACTGGTTCAAAATATTACTGTTATAAAAAAAACATTTTCGATTGTGTTTTTAGCATTAGTTGACGCCAACTACAGATTCATATTTTTTGGATATAGGTGGCCTTGGCAAAAACTCAGATGGCTGCATATTTTCTAACTCTGCTTTAGGAAAGTCATTGTTCAAAAAAAAATTAAATGTACCGAGTAATGAATGTCTACCAGGCACAGAGGAAGCAATGCCCTATGTCATTGTTGGGGATGCTGCTTTTCCACTCCAAACGTATTTAATGAGACCATATCCAGGCAATCAAACAGTAAATAACGAGGGAAAAAAGGTTTTCAATTATCGCCTGAGTCGGGCTCGTCGCGTCAGTGAAAATGCTTTTGGTATACTTGCCAGAAGATTTAGAATTTACGAAAGAAGATTGTCTTTGACTCCTGACCATGTTAATATTGTCGTAGCAGCAACATGTTGTTTACATAATTTTTTGATAAATAGCTCGACATATTGGTCTGATGAAGATTTGCGGGAAAATGTAGCAAGCGGTGGATTAATTAATTTACGACAAGTCGGCGGCAACGCATCAACAACAGTACTTGAAATCAGAGAGAAATTCAAAAAATTATTTAATGTCTGAGATAGGTTCAGTTCCATGGCAAACGAATGTTGTAAGGAGGGGATTTCAAGGTACGCAAATTGTTTAGTTTATAAGTTCCATAAAAAAAATCAGTTCAGCCGTTTCAAAGATTACCTCAGACAAACTTCAAAACAAACAGACACAGATAAAAATTGTACTTAAAATTTCGGAGTTTTTTTTTTAATCACACAGCATAACCCAATTTTATTAATATAAAAGTTTAATATTTATCTTAAAAATCTACTTATAAAAGAGAATTTATAGATCAATATACATGCAATAAAAAATTATAACCCTAATTTCTTACTTCTAAGCATCTAAAATGGCCAAAACATCTAAGCAACAATGTTTTCAATTTTATGTCAGACGTCATAAAGAACGTCGTTAAAAATTGAAATAAGAAAATATATTGAAAAAATTCTTGCTTTGACAACTATACGCATACTCTAATCGCGTACAAATAGGTATATGACTTTTTGAATGTGAGATCAATTTGGCTACCATGTTTTCTTACATCATTTTGTTGCAAACTGTAGGTACCTGGTTAAAAGTTATTTGCAAACATACAAAAAATCATCACCACCGGGAATCTAACAACAGAAGTCCCTCGAGCAACTACATTAACAATAATAAAATACAATACAGAAAATAAAATATACTGATATAATTAAAAGTCTAAGTAAATAACTCACGTGTTTCATTCATAATCTTAGATATCTCCTCCCATATATTCATCCGACGCTGGTCGTCATGGTAACGTGGATCTTCTTGATTGTATAATTCAGAGTAGGATTGGACTAATGATATCAAAAGTTCTTCATTCATTTTAAAAATGACGAAAAATAGACGTAATTAATAAAGACACGCTTCCGCACCTCTGCGTCGACTGAGGCGCGCCGAGCAGAGTCGCAACGCGCCGGCGTAAAAAATCGCTCGACGAGCGATGCGCGCGAGAGATTCGGCTCGGCGCGCCGCGGCTCTTCACAGATGGACGAAATTTCATAGTAAATATATAGGGAGCGAATTTCTGCGCTTCGATTCGATTCGACTCGGCGCGCCTAGTCGACGCCAGCCTTAACACGTATTTTAGTATTCTATTTAATTTTATCATGTGATCATGGAAACGAGCCCCAGGTCCGGTCATAATCACTATATATTAATTAATTAAAAATCATTCTGTACTATTTAGTAGTTTAAGACCAGAAGAAGGTACCTATTTTATTATATTATTATTAAAACATAAATGAAGATATTTTTTAAGCTATTGCATAGCTTCTATCGCGGGCCTTGAGCGCGGGGACCGAATCCAGAAATTCCGTAACGAAAAAAAACTTCACGCTCCCCACTCCGACGGGCACGGAGGTGTGGCGTTGAAAGCCGTGCATCGTCTAACGTCGTTTCAGTTCGGCAGACTTCGGCACTCGGCAGAGTTCGGCACGGTGTTTGTGTGCGTGCGACTAGACGTATGCGTGTACACTAGCTGCTAACTCAATGATAAAAATTCCTGAATAACCTACATGTATTGTAATATATTATAAATATTTTAAACAATATTAACTTCTCATTTATTCAATAAGAGAAAAAAAATTGTTTTTTTATCGGTCACCACGCTCAAAAAGTGTAACTTGATTTAATATCAAAGACTTAACTGCATAAATAAAATAAATAAATAATTATAATTGCATAAGTTGATAAAAAATGCTATGCAATAGCTTTACCGCGGCAGTCACCGAGTGCCACACGTATTTTTTATTTATTTATTTATTGATACCATAACAATATATTGTTAGTGAGTGAGTCAGTGAGTGGCTGACTGCCTCGTTGGTCTAGTGGTCCTGGAGTCTTGAGTTTGAATCTTGACTGAGACATAATTAGTAATTTGCTTTTTTTTGTCAAGCTTAAGCCCGAAGTCAGGAAGTTATCGGTGTTTCACCCTTGCACCTCAGAAAGCACGTAGTCGTTCGTCCTGTGCTTGACCTCTCTCCGTTTGTGTCAGATAGTTATCCTATCGGATTAGATTGAGGAAATAGAAAGCACACCTGTGCTTGCGCACACACTTGTGCACTATAATCCTGTCCTGTGCAGAGATTAAGGAAATTAATGGTAAAAGTATATATAGAAATACTACTTTGGGTAAAGATATAGAAAATAAAGAGTTATACACTACTTTAATACACATCGTAGCGTTTTTGCGTCCACTAGGGTGGTAGGTACCAACACGGACGGACTTCACAAAAGAAGTCTTACAGTTAGTATTACTTTGAGTCGTTTATTGATGCACACAGAATATGAGTAGTTTCTATGTATGATTCTTATCATTTATACTACCACCATATTGCTGATATTTTAATTCTATCTTCTGGATTTCTAAGTGAGAGTCTAAACATGACACTTCAAAAAATTCTGTTTAATGTTATGTAAAAAGAATGAAAAACATAAAATTGATGGATACAGGTAGCTCAGAATCATTTTTATGGCAGTCTATAAGGGCAGAGGCCACATGGTTTACATAATTTTTAAATTAAATTTGACTTTAAGACAAATTGATACAAAGTATATAATTATATTCAACTTTATAGCAATGGCTGTTCCCCCTTTTGGCCACACTCAAATTAGATTTTGACACATAACCCCCGGAGGGAACTCGTAAACATAATGTTTTATGGCGTCTAATTACACGACGTTATTACTTCAGCGTAGGCTGTGAAGGGCGTTGTGTTACTGCGATGTTTGGTCTAAGCTATAAGACATCCATAGTATAGTCGACGTACTAAATACGTCTAGTGTTTTTATGCAGATAAGAAAAACAAACGAACACACAGTTCACCTGATGGTAAGTGGATGGTATGGCTCATCGATCGACACCTACAGCGATCCTCATTGTTAGCCCTGTTAATTAAGACTGGATGCTCCGATACCATTAAAATGGCACTTAGAAGATGTTTTAAGGCGAAACAAATTTAAAATCAAATGAACGCTGCGATGCTACAACGAATTTAATGCAGTCGCCGGCGTTTATAACTTGCATAGCCACGTTTATAAGGGGCAAGTAACTGAAATATAACACAAAAGTAAAAAGGCCTTCCTTTCTCCCTTATGCTATTCACAAATAGGATATGAAAGAGGCATTATCGTGATGTTAGGAGGGTCCATGTGATTTGACATTTGTTAATTATTTAGGGAATATTGCAAGTAATAAAGTCAGCCATATACTTTATAAATGGCGGCTGGCATCTCTCAAATATTTTTACATATATATTGTCTTACAGTAAATTAGTAAAATAGCTCGCTTATTCAGAGAAACAACTTCGAACAAGGAAGTCTAGGTCTCATTATACGGAGCTGCCGAGAGGATTTGTTAATGACAGTTCTTAATCGAACGGTGGATGTGACTGAAGTGGATATTCTGATGTCAGAGTGATTTAATTTTTTTCCGATTCAAATTAGCGTAAACTATTTCAATATTTTTTGTCGTCTTTGTGTGTTCTGTTTGTTATTTGGTGAGTAGAATTTTTTGTTTAGTTAATGTAGATCTGTATGATGATGATGGATGTTGGCGGGAAGATGCTGAACCACCGAACTTATTCGGTGATTCTGGCGCTGCTAAACATAAACTCACGGATTCCACATCCAGTTTCCAAAGGAAAAATGGAGCACCAAGATCATCGCTCGGCCTCCTACCAAAATACTAATGTCCACTCTGACTTTTAAGAAAAAAATTATGTTGACAACGATAAAGGTTTCTTTGCTATACATTTAAGTCGCTCAGAACCTGATTCATCATCAAGATATACAATAAGACCCGTGAAAATTTGCTATATCCTTACGCAAGATAAAGTAGCCAATATTGAAAACAGGGTAACAGTATCTTAGGGCATAACAGAGTTTCAATTGCTTTTAAGACTACATCAGCTAATAAATTTATTGACTCATAGTTTCATTCGCAATATAAACTTTCTACTGTCATTTCAACTTTTATTGTTACTCCTATGGGTGGAATTAGGGGCATCTCAACTGACATCCTAATGGAGAAATTAGTGGGCGAGTCTGAGCTCCCTCTTGACAGAGTGGAAATCATTAAAGCCATAAGAGTCTTCTGTGAAGACTTAACAGAAAGGTCAGGAATGGTGATGAAGTAGAACAGATTCCTACTCAAACTGTTTTGTCATACTCAAACTGTTTTCTTTACCTTTTCTGGACAATTGCTCCTTTCCCATTTATACTGATTTTATGATTTGAGAGCAGTTTAAACTTAACTTTTCTCTACCATCCAGTGTCTAAAATGCTGCCGTTTTGGACGTGTTAAAGCCCAATGTCGATCTAAAAAACGATATTTTAAATGCAGCAGAGAACATACTAGAGAAAGCTGTACAGTAGACATTTTCGGGTTTAAAGTTATACGGGTAGACAGCTCTAGGCTAACTGTGAATATGTACCCCCCTCCCCACCGGCCTATTCTATCTGCCCAGCCCACGAAGCGTATATTGAAAGTATACAAAGACAGCACGCATTCATAGTTTTCTTACACTGTATGTTTTCAGAATGTGTAGCAAATAAAATTTTCAGAAAATATACACGATTTCTGCGTACTAGTCGCGTAAACTTCCTAACACTGATTCAGTAAATTAGTTAAGAGATTAACTAATTTACTGAATCAGTACACAAGGCTAGAACCGACATATTCTGACATTGCATACCTACATTTACGATGTAAACGCGTGACAAGTATTAGTAAAGTATACAAGCTCAGAAATTTACTAGGTAAATGTCGTTAAGTTAAAAAATATGAAACAAATAGTTATGAACTAATCATGTGGTATGTAAGGTTGCGATCATTGGACCGGCACTTTCATTGGACCGCTTCAATATTTTCGAAACGGTTCGATTTTAAAACTGTTGCTAGGCGTCGGACGCTTGGTATACGTCCCTCCGCCACACCCCCGTAGTCTCAGTTCTGCCGCAGGCTCCGGCGCGGACGCAGGTCTGTCGCTGCGTTTCTCGCGCTCGAAAAATTTTTTTCGCCTGTTAAACCAAACCATGTAAGTAGATATTCCTTAAGGATATTCATGTGTGTTGTTTAATGTTCCGTTCTTTGTTTATCAACGTTATTGATTCTTATAGAAAGGAATGTCCAAAAGTTATAGTTTAGTCATAATATTTGACCTTGTAAAACCATACGTAGTTGCCGTCATTGAACCACCTCGAAGCTCCTCGATTGGACCGGTCCAATCATGGCAACTAATATAAAACCTGGATTTTAAAATATCATTCGGAGAGATTTACCTATTTTTTTAATGTGAAATGAAATAATAATAAATATTTTAAATAAATTGATTTAATTTTAAATGGCAGCGGGTGTTTAAAATATCATTGGAATACCTATGTCGACTTATTTTTTTTAAATGTGAAATAATAAATTTTTATAAAAATAATTAATTTAATTTCGTTTGCCATGTTTGTGTGCTGATATTATTGTATTGGTAATAGAAAATATTTTTATTGCAGCATGTCTAAAAGAGGGCAATATTACACGTGGAGTTAAACAAGCATGAAACTAGCATTACAGGCATTAAGTAATAGGGAAGTTGGCTTAAATGAAGCAAGCAGAATTTACAGTGTACCAAAAGTTACATTAAAGAGACGACTTGATGGCTCAAATTAAACAGCCAAAGAAGAAAAACAAACGCAATTCTGCAGGTGATCTCACACCTGAATTGGAAGAAAAGTTGTACCAACATATTCTAGAAATGGAAGCCTGTTTGTACGGTCTAACACCAAAAGATGTGAGATTACTTGCTTTTAAAACAGCTGAGAAAAACAATATTAAACACAAATTTAATAAAACAAAAAAAAAAATGGCCAGGAAGAAGTGGTATTATGCATTTTTAAAGCGTCATCCCGGTTTAAGTTTAAGACTACCCAGAACTACATCTTTAAATAGAGCTACAGCATTTAACAAACGCAACTGTCAAAGACTTTTTTGAAAAGTTAGAAAAAGTGATGGATGAGCACGGTATATATGACCCACGATACATTTATAATGTAGATGAGACAGGCCTCTCAACAGTGCAACGAAAACCAGGAAAGATATTGGCCAAAAAAGAAAAGCATCAAGTTGGTGCTATTACAAGTGGTGAGCGTGGATTCACTACTACTGCTGTGTGTTGTGCAAGTGCAGCTGGCCATTTTGTACCACTTCTTGTAATTTTTAAACGAAAAAACTCTAAAGACTAACTTCGCGACGGTGCTCCACCTGGTTCAATCTTTGATTGTGAAATATTTTTTGTTTGGTTGCAACACTTTGTATAATGTGTAAAGCCTACCACGGAGCAGAAAGTTTTACTGTTACTTGATGGACACACTAGTCACACAAAAAATTTGGATGCTATTAAATATGCCAAGGAAAACAATGTTGTGTTACTGTCACTTCCTGCTCACACTTCCAATAAACTGCAGCCCCTAGATACTTCGTTTTTTAGACCGTTGAGTTGCTATTATATAGATGAAACAGAGAAGTGGCTGCGTACAAATCCAGGAAGACGTGTTACAGTATTTCAAATTTAAATGTTTTTCGGTAAAGCCTACGCCCGTGCTGCATCTATTGCAACCGCTGAAAGTGGATTTCGAAGTACGGGCATATATCCTTTTAATAAGGATATTTTCCAGGATTATGAGTTCGTTATTTTACTTGAAGATAACGACAACTTACCGGCTATTGAGAATGAGAACATGATTGTGGATCCTTTGTTTTCAGAGCTTAATGATGTAGATGACAATGGAATACCAAAAGATGTAACCTCGGATGTTCCACCATTTTCGTGCACCAGTGTTGAATCTACTGATGTAAATACGATGCAAACAATACCGTCTGCTTCCAAAACACCTGTTATACTAAGCCCTGATTTATCGGATAATTGCAACAATATAAATATTCAACCTGAAACATCAATCATAGCAACAAAAGAAGTAAAACAATAGCAGCCACTTCCAAGCACTAGCTCAGAATTTCAAATTTGTAGTGTAACTCCGGTTGCAAAGAAAGTCATGCAAGAATTGAGAAAAGGAAGTCGTAAACCACAGTCGGCAATAGAGTTAACTGCTTCCCCATATAAAAGACAATTGGAAAAGTCAAAAGCTAAAGCATCCCAAACAAAATCCGATGCTGAAAAGAGAAAGAAAGTTGCTGCATTAAACTTGGAGAAAACAGTAAAATCTAATAGAGGTCCAGAAAAACAGATAAAGAAAGACGTGAAGAGAAAGAAAGTGCCAGCTGCGGAGTTAGAAAAATGGTTCTACAAAATGTGTCTCCTTTGTGCTATTGAAGACATGATATAATGTTTGTCATGTAAATGTTGGGTCCACGAGGAGTGTGCTTGCGTTAAAAAAAGGGATCAAAAAATATATTTGTCCATCATGTACTGAATAATGGATCTCAAATGTCTGAAATTATTGAATATTAATTTAAGTTTGAATGTTGATTTCTTTTAGATATTGAAAATTTTTAATGAATGTTCGGAGAATTTTTTTATATCCCTGAAGATGGGTTTAAGTTTTATGTTATTGATATTAGTACAGAAAAAGTTTAACAAAGTTTTTTTAACAATACTCAAAAATTATTAGGTTAAGTTTATTGTTGTTCAGACTAGTATTTTTAGTTTTTAAGAATTTAACACTAAGTACTCTGATATTCCTATATTTTTTCTATGAAGATTTTAGTATGTAGCATTTAAAAAAAGTGATTACATGGTATTAAATATAAGGACCAAGAAGACTGTATTGTGAGCCAATGTTGAAATAATTAATATTAAAATAATGCTTAAAAACTTACGTACCTCAAGTTGTTGTTATATAATTTTTATATTTTTTTTGGGAAACATTTAAAAAATGTTACATACATGCACGGTATTAAAACCAAGAAGACTGTTTCATATGCCTATATTGAAAAATGACTTAATTAGTAACATAAATGTTAAAATAATGATTAAAATGTTCATTTCTTTAAATTGTAGTATTATTATTTTGTCACCTTAAACCATGAAATTTCCGAGTTCCCATCAATGGACCGGTCAACTCATTTTCCTAAGTCCAATATAGCAACAAAGTGGTCTAATGAACGTTCCAGTGGTCCAATCAAAGAAACCTTAACAAAAATTATTTTACCCATTTATTGACTCTATTTACTATTTTAGAATTCTGAAACTTTAGGTATTTACACAGGAATACAAGAGCATTTCAGTAACTAAATCACTTTTATTCCACATTGCATACATTCGTTTTTTTAAGCATTTTAACAAAAGTGGTTCAATCATCGCAACCTTACCCTACTTTATGGCAATTTAAAGGTAACTGTTAAAATAATAAAGTCCTTTGTAAGAGACAAAATTATTTTTATTATAAAAGTAGTATTTTTAGTATAAAGGCACTTAAATCTTAATTATTTTCATAATATATACAACTACCTTCAACAAGAAATACAATTAATTGTCAATTTGACATATACTTTTTTACGGCATTCCTTGTCATAATTAAATATAGTTATGTGTACTTTATATATGTCATAGGATAATAACAAGATAAACCGATATTTCGGAAAAAATCTATAGTGATCGCGAAAACACGGCTAAACAGACGATTGGTCGAATTATTTCGACAAATTCTAAAACTGAATCAGCACGCCCGACTCCACGTAGTTTTGTCTGCCCTACCCCTAGATTGTTTTTGTAAATCAGTAGGCGCGGAGGGAGAGCAGCCCCCGCCTGCCGTAGCAAATTACAGGCACTCATGGGTGGCTGCGATTAACTACGGAAGGGCGAAGGGGCTGCACTTCCCGCAGTGCCGAAGCTGTTACAGAAGTAACTTCAAGGATCAGTATTAGTCAATATATGTTATATAATTTACATAGTACATTTTCTTTTATTTTTTATTTTTATTACGGAATTGTCAGGCGAACAGGAAGTAATTATAAGTTTAATTACAATATTAGCGTTATTTTGTATAACATACAAATTATACACACTGCATTCTAGCGCGTTATTGCTCGATGTATGTTTTAACAACTAGTGCAGTATGTTTTTCGGGCTGTTATCAGTATCGGAATGACTACAATTCAGTCGATATTTCATAATGAGCTGTGTGTAAGAAAGCTAGTTTCCCGCTGGGTTCCCCACAATTTGTCTGATGAGCTAAAGGCGGCTCGTGTAGATTGGTGCCGGAATAATCTGCAACGCTTCAACGGAGGGAAGTCAAATGCCGTTAACAATATCGTCTCAGGTAACGAATCATGGATTTATTCATACGAACCTGAAAGAAAACATCAGTCAGCAGGTTGGGTCTTCGAAGTCGAGGTCAAACCAACGAAAGTGGTTCGCTCCCGCAGCGTGGCAAAGAAAATGGTCGCTACGTTTGTCTCGAAAAAGGGGCATGTTGCTACAATTCTTTTACAGGAACGCAGAACGATTACCGCTGAGTGCTATATCACGGTTTGTTTACCAGAAATGAATACCGAACTCCGAAAAAATAACCCGAAATTTCGCATCATTTTACATCACGATAATGCGAGCTCCCATACGGTTTGGAGACATATGATTTTTTAAAGCAGGAAAATGTTGAGCTGATGAGCCATCCTCCGTACAGTCCTGACCTGAGCCCAAACGATTTCTTTACATTCCCTAGAATGAAATATTTATTACTCGGTCAACGGTTTGAACTCCGAAGCAGCTGTGGAAGCGTACAAATCAACCATTTTGTCAACATCAACTTCAGACTGGAATTACTGTTTTAATGAATACGGTTTGCACGAATGGAAAAGTGCATTAAGTTGAACGTAGAATACTTCGAAAAACAATAAAATACAATTTAGCTATACCGTGCATGTGGTTTTTCTCATTCCCGATCATTTCAGTGTGCCCCTCGTATACACCTTAAATCTCAAATATAAGACTTTATAATGACTTAAAATACTAAATACAGTTTTATGTACACAGGTCTTATCATTGCTTTTATTCATCTTAAATGATTAAACAGTTTAATTCAGAAAATATAATCTTAATCACATCTTTATGAAAACTTTTAAGCAAAATTGTTTCTATCCAATGATATTATAATTAAAAAGGTGGCCTCTTTTTCTTATAATATCATTGTTTCAATCATATGACATTTGACTGATAGGAGATTCTCATCCTCTCACTCTAATAAATAGCAGTCCTTGTCTTTCCTGACACATACTTTCCTATTCTAACATTAAACTATTTCAATCGGTGGTGTGTTGCCTCAACATATAAAGAATAATATTTTTTTGAATTACTTATTTTTAACTTTATATTAAAAAATCTTTTTAATTATTTAATCTTTCAACTCGCGTTACGTAATCGATTATTAGGTACGTTATATATTTTTTTAAATTAAATAAAAAACTATGCCTCTCGACGCTAACAGTAACTGACCATCGTCTATGAACAACTACAACATCAGGGGAATTGCTGTGCATTGCCGGCCTTTTAAAAAAGGAGTAAGCTCGTTTTTTGACGTCCGTATCGGTCAGGAAAAATTGACGATTGTGGATGATTCCACAAAGAAGTCTTGCGAGGAGGAAAACTCCAGTAAATCGCACAGTCATGGTAGATCGCCAAGAGTCCTGGATTCCAAGATGGTTTAGATGGTACCTTGAGTTTTTTCCGATGTGTGTTGGTGGAATTTGGAATTGGGCGGGCAAATAATTTCTCTAAATACTCCCCGTGGGTAATGCGATAGAAAATACAATAGCAAACGGATGCAGCATCTCTAAGACAGTGAATTGAAACGATCAAAAATATTTCGGTCGTCGACGATTCGAGCCGCTCTTCGTTGGATGCGATTAAGTGGAAGGAGCTGGCACTGGGTTGCCCCGGTCCAGGGATGAGAACAGTAGTAAATGTGAGGCAGAACTTGCGCCTTATTAAGTTGTAAGCGGTGTACCAGCATGAAATACTCGCCCGCTACGCCAAGTTTTTAGAGACCAATTTAGCCTTCCTTTCGAAGTGACCGCTGAACTGTACGTCATTTGATATGTTGAAAAAACTTGCCTTTTATTTTTTCTTTGACTCGTAGGAACAAAAATAAATCACGAGAAGCTAGGTCAGGGCTGTAGTGTGGGTGACTTAGAGTTTCAACACCAGATTCCTCAATAAATGCTTTTGTTCTAAGTGAGGTATGTGAAGAGGCGTTATCGTGATGCAGCATGATTCCCCGAATCCCGGTTTTTGGTCTTCCCTCCCGCTCAGCCGTATTGCACAGTTTCAAGACTATTTCAACTGTTAATTTTTGTAGTGATGCCATGATAGTACTGTGCAATTCGAACCTAGTCTGTTTGTTATACAAAAAAAAAATAACTAAGTATATACCTAATCTCACCAAACATAAATGCGAAAAGTAGGTCAAATTCGATACAAACGACATTCGGGGTTGACGAATAAACCGATAACAGCCGGAATGCTTCGTTTCCTCTCCAGTAAAGAGGGTCTCTGGCTCTCTATACTCACAATATGAAATATGAAACCCAGCACCACTAAGCTGCTATTTAATGCTCGTATTGTTCGAGCGTAGTCCTTCCACGGTTGAGCGGACTCATTTGTGCTATAACTATGATATAACTGCAGCATCGCTATAAAAAGTAAGATTATTTTTTTAATATTTTGAATAGACCTTAAGACTTCTCCCGTGTGTTTGCATGTGGATGATGTTTTAAGTCGGATTTTTTTATCGGTCAATGTCAAATCTATTTTATACTACGAATGCAAAGCTCCTAATATATAAGTAACATAGAGAATGTTTATAAATCTTCTGACACGCGCTTTTGAAAGTACCGAGACTGCCAGTTGTATCAAGGCATTCAAGTATTCGCCTTGCATAGGTTTCATACATCCAAATAAGAGTCTCATAGCCAACCAAGCCTTCGCATCGCGTAGGCTCTATACATTCACCTACAAAAGTCTTACAGCCAACCAATAATTAAATATCTACGAAATGCCCAACCTAAATGATGTAAATAAATATAGCCTAAAAAAATATAACGATTTAGTATTTCTAATCTCTTTTTCTAAACCTTAATCTTTAGACTAATTTAATACACTTTAATTATTAATTATTTTTTAATAATCAAACACTTAAACAAAAGTCGTACTGTCGTAACCGTTACCGTTACAGCTTTTTAAAGTTCATGCATTACATACATACATAATACATAAACACTTACCCCTGTCACCCAGAGGGGTAGGCACGGACATCCATTTGGCACCATCCTGACACACCTCTTTCGCCTCCTCCATATCCATATACCTATGCATACATGCTCGTCGGTT